GTTTCGAACTGTTATGTGAAGGTTCGGAATTGAAAGATTCTCAATAAACCGTGGGCATCTGGGATTTTTCGTTCGTTTGCTTATCACTGCTTAATCGCTCTTCAGGCAGCGTCTCATTCGCCTTCATCTGTCGCCGTCTTCGCCCGGAGTGTCACAGTTTCTTCGTACGTCATGCGAGAACTCATTCTGTCTCGCAGATTTGATCCCGCAGCTCGCTGAAACCTACCCTAATCATACGCTTGAACTCTCCCTCGCTTCAACTCGGGCGCCGGCTGTGTTGTTCTCCGAAAAGAAAGAGAGTAAGTACTTAAAGTATTTCATCGAAGGAGAAAGCTTTAACTGATTCCATGTTCAGGTGGTGTGATCTCGGTCAGTTTGGGCGGAGTGGTGGTCGTGTTCGTTTTTGACGGCGTCCGTCGAAAACAAGCCGCTGTGCTCGACGTCGAGGTGGTCGCTGACGCGAAGTTTGAACTCTGCAGGTTCGTTCATTTGAGGAAAAGGCATCCAAGAATAGAGATGACGGTTGTATTATTCAGGACCGTAATGTTAGTGGCAGTGTGGAGTTGACTAAGTTCGAGCTGTCGAGTCGTTCGGGAACGGTGAGAATATCAAGGGACGAGCTGTCCGACATCTCGATTCTCGTCTCGCAGATGATTGAGAACATGCTGAACGAGATGCTGTCCACTGGCTTCCCACTGCCTCTACCCACCATGTAAAGTTTAACCTATTCCTTTATTGTCCATCATCTTCTGGCAGTTTTCTGCGATTCATCAAATTATTTAAAATCTTCATTGTTCACCATTCCATGGAACCGAAAGAGAAAGTTCAAAATGAGCCTCGCAACTGCTACAGAGAAAATGGATCTCTAGCGTCTAAGCAATTCGAAACGTCAAGAAATAACTTGAACTCGTCTGGGACAAAGCAGTCTCCTTCGCCATTTCGAAGTCCTTTTTCCTTTTTGGCACATGCGCTGATTTCCTTCGCCCGCATGCAAATTACCAAGAGAGCGCTTCTCGCATTAGCACTGCTTTTTGTCCAAAACCGGACACTAGGAGGCACTCTAAGGCGAACGCTTTCTTCAACAGACAGCTCGTAAATTCTGGACAGGATCTCAATGTCCAATGATGAATATAAAACCTCGAACTAATCAGGTAACCTGTACCAAAGACAGACTTGTTCCCCATAGTTCTCGTTGACGCATTTCTTCTGCAGAAATCTTCGAATGCTCTAAGGTTCACGCATTACTTTACTTTAGGGAATCCTTCCGAGAATTTTTGCATTCTTTCCCAACATGATATGTTAGTTATGATCACTAGAGACAATATACCAAGTTTTACGCACGAAGATTCGGTTTCCAATTTACGAAAAGCACACTCTATGGACGGTCCAAGGTAGGTCGCGCGGCGTCAAAAAGCGGTGGGCATGGGAATCGTTTAAGGGCAATGGTCAACCGGAAGGCTTGGTGATTCAGTGTTTTGTAGTGTTCTCTGGGACTCTCGCACATACACACTATTACAGCATCTCTGCTTTCTTTCCCTCCTTCGAAAGGCTTAGTCCCAGCATGTGCTTTTCTGTCTGGACTCGCACACGTTGGTTGACCGCTGCCCCGTAACCCCAATGGAAAGTCCGCCTTGGCGCTACGTATACAGCGACGTATTGGCAAAGAATCGGGTTGAATGGCGCTCGATCTGGAGAAAATCAATCAAAACGATCGGTCGAATAGATGTCAAAGTTGCAATGCGGAATACAAAGTGCGAATATATCAAAAGATTGAAAAGAGTTTCTAGTGACAGCACTTGGTGAACAAAGTGGAAGCATTCTAGGCACCAGCATTTGTAAGAGATGTCCGGCGGAAATTCGAGTGCGTACAGTTCTTCAGGTTTTTCTAATTGTTTACCAGAACATATGCAATTTTTTGTTCTTTTCGTTCTTGTCGCGAATGATTGGTCTCAAGCCAGTGATTTATGGGTGAGATGGAATCATGATTCCCTGAGAAGCAATTATTATAAAGAGCTCCTTCCTGCACATTCAGCTCACCTAATTATCCGCTGGGACGTTGAAAATCGTACAGTGACACTACATTAAAGCGAGAAATTACGATAAAATTTCTGTGCAGCATGGAAGAACGAGCAGCACTTCAAGCAGTAGCTAGAGCCCAAAGGAATCGAGATGTGGCCTTTTTGTGACTAAAGGTGCGCTCGTTGCAGCGCCCTGGGGCTGCCAATCCTTTCTGAGCTCCGCCTCCGCCTGTGCTCCGCCCCTCAGCAGATCGCTGTTCGATTATCATTCTGATAAGGTATGCCACTTCGAGCGCGTATCCAATTTTTTTCTCATGGAATGCTATATCAATCAAGGTATGATCTCTGGTGGTATGATGGCAGCTATGGTTTAACGAGTGCCGACGACCTCTTAGTTGGTTGCCAACTCGTCCATTATCGGAGGTCAACGGGCAGAGGAAGTGGTCCCATTTTGCGCGTTTTTGACGGATTTCTTTGCTTTTTTCGCTACTAGGGCATTATTCAGCATCTTCACTTCCACTATGAGCACACAGAATCCTATCGCAATCTCTCGCTACGATATATGGTCTCTGAACTATCCTTCCCTAAAACGCAATAACCATTTTTGCTAAATCATCTCGACGGCAATTACATGGACACTTGAGCTTTAATGATCGCGGATGATGCGCGCTTATTGCGTTCTGCTCCTGAAACCCGCCATGTTCTGCTCTGATTGAGCCTAATTTATTCCTTTTCTTATGAAACAACATTCTTTAAGAGTTCTCCGTTTGCATTATTCACTCCACGCAGGCGTTTGTTCGAGACCATAAAACTTCGTGTATAGTTAACTCGGTAACGCTGACCTACTTGGGTATTCCGTTCGTTTCGAAAAGTAAAATGGGCTTTGAAAAAACTGTTTTTCCGGGATGCAGGAATGTAAAATACCGCCTGTAATTTTTGCTACATCGACAAATTCAGGCGAATAAATACGACGTAATCCACCGCTTTGCCATAACTTTCGGAAGAATAGAAAATGGCTCGAATCTGAGACTATTAAATGGCCCTTATCAAGGCAGATGCAGTAGCGCGGTTAACTTCTGATTTTTTTCGATTTATGACCACATTTTTGGGAAAAGTTTAAGTTTGCGCTTGCCAATCGCAATACCTGCAGGCATGTCATCGTCGTCAACCCTCAAGTCCGACTAGGTTTCCTTATTGTAGGATTAGAAAACCACAAATCTGAGCATACTCGATGAGATCATGAATCGATGATCATTTTAATAACCATATCGGTAGGGTTTGAGCAAATTCCGATTCGGAATTAGGTTCTAGGAAATGAGTCTTTTGCCATAGTTAAATGTCGCTGTCGGCGGCAGGCATGTTAACATCGGACATTTACCCACATCTTGTGCTTCGAAAACCACCTTCTCCACATTTTTGAAATTTTTCGTTCGCTTATTACCTGTTGTTACCACGCTTCCTCAGTGGTCCTTCTATCCAAAACTTCTAATTTTCATTGGCTTTGGAGGAATCGCCCCCGAAAAATCTGATTCTATCTCAGCCACAAATCACTGGCTTCAGATCCACGATAAGAACGAAAAGAACAAAAAATTGCATTTGTTTTGGTAAACAATTCGAAAAACCGGAAGGGCTGCTACGCGTTCAAATTCCCGCCGTACATCTGTCACAAATGCTGGCGACGGGAACGATTCCACTTGGTTCTCGGAGTGCCTTCACTACTCTTTTTGGCCTTTCCACCTATGCAGTAACTTTTCTCCTTTCTAACGCATCGTATTCTCGCAATCGTTTTCCCTCTAAACTCCGAATATGAACGCTTCAACCCGATTCCCTCGATGCGTCGTCTGATACGGGGCCTCCCCAAGGCGCCCATTTTCATGCGTTCTACTGTTTCCGTCCGATTACCCTTGACCATTTATAGGATGTGGTTTTCGTGAGTTTGTTTTTCTACATAAGGTTAATCTTCTAAAGTCATTTTTGTACGTGGTTTCTTCATGGGAAGCAAGGCTAAACGGCACAAGTGTATGTCTGCACTCTTAGACCTGATAACTTCATTTTCTTTGTCATCTTTATATTTGTTCAGAAATCCGAAGACACAATCATCTATTGTCAGAAATTTTACCCATAAAAGGCATTTTCAAATTAAACGAAAGGAGTACAGCTTGAAAGTCATGGTAACGGCAAAGAAAATTCACAGGCGCAGACGTAATTACGTGAATTGTTTTTGTCAGGAATTCAGATCATTACGACTTGACATGCGTAAGGAATCGGTCAATCGAAAAGAAGGGAATTGAAGAGTAATCACCTTCTGTCACTTTGCGTTATTTCTAGCAGCTAGATTTGCACG